CACAAGCACCACCATGGTAACTGGGATGTGTAGTTTTTAATTCCGTTTGAATTATAACTGTACGTACTGTCTTCATATTTGGCCAGGGCTTTAAAGAGAAGGCACGCCAAAAAATTTCGGTGCTGTCGTCTCCGCTTTAAAGGTACAACCGTGCTGGAAGAATTTGACCTCGGAACGTTTGGCCAGCGTACTCTTAGGGAGGGTAGCAATGGTTCTGAATTTCTTCCATTTGTACTGTATGTACCTATCTGCCTGATCATGGACTGGTGGAAGCACAACTCTTTAGAAATCCTTTTGTAACCCTTTCCACTCTTATGAGCTTAAACAACTCTTCTTCTGAGGTCCTCTAAAATCTCTTCTGATTGGGCTATATTGCACTTCAACAGAACTCAGAAATTGTGTTATTTTACATCAATGCAGGTCAAACCCACACCTGAATTGATTGGAACACCTGACTCATTGATTGGAATACCTGTCTCCAATTACCCTTTTGTTCAAGATGTCCTAATCCTAGAGGTTCACATACTTTTTCCATCAATGACCTTGACCATTCAACCCATTTGTTCAGCAAAGTAAAATTGTTGTTCAACAATGTAAAATGTTGTGTGTGTTGTTTGTTATATAAGACTGCCTTTATTATTATGACTTAGATGAAGATCAGATCACATATTAGGAGCCATTCATGCAGAAATCCAGATAATTCCAAAGGGTTCACAAACTTTATATATACAAAAAATAAATTATATTCTTTATATGGGCATCTGAATACTGTGATATGCTTTGCATGTTTACATACTTTCTATGTTAATTTGTGCATTCCTTTCATTAGCTAAACGTATCTATAGCCTAAGAAGATTTCATATGACTGCATCTGTCCTCTTTTTTCTTTTTTGAGAAATCAAAAACAGGTTCTTGTTCATGTCCTGGAAGTTAATTTACCTGCAATGACAGCAGTGTCTGCTCCACCATCTTTTGGACCCACCTTTTCACCTTCAGGTGAGAATTTCTCATCTGCAAATACAAGAACACAAACAAAGACATTCAGCACAGACAGTACAAGAAGTCACATTTCCTTTGATACAAAGGTATCAAAAGGATACCATTAAGTTTATTTTAATTATATCGCTTTCTCAAACAGAGACCAAAGACTAAATAAAAAGAAACGCTTACTGTACATTTATTTCAAGAGCCACAATGTCTACTAGTTTAAGTTTAAGTTTACTAGCAATAGAGCATACGGTAAAATAGCAGTAGTTCACAGCTAAAATATTTACTCTGTTTTCAGGAATGGGTATGCACCCATAGGAATTCATATGAAAAACAATTCCTTTATAGACATAGATTAAATATATATATATTTTTCAGCACAATAAATTGTATTAATTCAGTTTTGATGTTATGGAATGGAAATTTGGATGGTGGTCAGATTCTAATCTTGCTCTTCCATATAAAATCTCCCTATCTAAACAAGGCTTTCATGCATGTTTTCTAGCATCTTTTCTTCTTCTTCTCCAACATCACCAGTGCAGCAGTATTCCCTGCCTCTTACTTTTGTAATATAAGTAAGGATAGCTGAGAGAGTGCCGATCTTCAATCAATACTGTCATTCCCTTAGGTGAGAGATGTGAATTAAAGCTAAGTTACTAAACCTGTTATCTTTTTATATACATTGCTTTGTTTTGTTATTAGAAATTGACCAAACAACAGACACAATGATAATTACAATTTGAAAACAGACTTAAAAAAGTTTTAAAGGCAATAGATACAAAAGAAAGGACCACATGTAATGTTTTTTTTACATCAATTGAAGATCGTAGGGTTAAACGTGTAATTTTAATCATTTTAGTGAAAAGCAGAAAAGACATGGCTTTACAAATGTATTTTATTTTTGAAGTGAAACTGCTGAAACATAAACAGTAGATAGGTTGTTGCCTAATCTTTAAACATTGAACAAAATACATTTATAATTACTTTATAAACTGTAAGGCTTAAATCTATGGTTGTCTACAGTTCTTCTATATTTAACCATAAAAACACAAAAAAACTTTCAGTCTATGATTATATTGGATATATTTGTATTTATATTTAGAAAACAAAAGTCAAATAATGTGTCATGTGAAGGGAGAAGAAACTCACAGTATTTCTGTTGGTTTGCACACACATGAAGGTAATGAAACATGGGAAAGCAAACTTCACAATCAAAAAATTAATTTCAGGATGACACACAAACTGTTGCTGTAGCCAATAGAGTATGTAATTATGAAGAGAGCTCTGTAATGTATTCTGCAGACATATCTTGTAAATCAAAATATTATCTCACTTAAACACAATAATTATTTAATTTAATTGCAATGTTATCTTGTTTAAATGTTTAAATAAACTGTTGTCCTCTACCGCCTGCAATACGCCTGTTCTGTCCCATCCCTTGAATACCTCTGGAAAGCCCTCCATCTATTCTAATTTTTTTAGAAAGTAAACCTGTAAATAATGGTCATTTTATATATTCCTATGTTTTATATAGCACCTTTAAAAATAGCACCTTGAAGTGTTTTACAGTAGGTGTACAAAACCTAAGGAGTTTCTCATCATATCCTTTTTAAATAAATATGTAACTCAAAAGACATTTAAAATTTCAGCCCATCTTTCAAGCTACAGATGCAGCCATTCAAACATTGCGGTACACACCTGTATCGCACGCAGCTACCCACAAGCCACCGCGGCGTACCTGGCTGGCAAAAATGACCGACAGGAGCACTCATAGTGCATTGGTCAGTAGTGAAAAGATTTAATCATTTAATCTCTTTACTGTGCACATTTTAATTTGCTTAGTATTGAATATTTATATGGAATTTTACAACTAAAGGGAATTTTTTTACATGCTCCTTCTGATCATATTACTTTATGTTTATATACTTTGTGATAAAAGTGATAGTTTTAAGCTTTTCTGCAAATATGCTCGTTATCGGAGTTAACAAAAGCATACTTTTAGAATTTGATTAATAGGGAATATAATATGGAATCGCGAATCTAAAGAAATTAATTACGATATAATTATATTCATGTACTGTAGCACAAACAGTAGTATAAGACTTTCTATTGATATATGTACACCTGTTGAACTGCTTGTTCTGTCACTGCATCTGTGGTGTGATGGCTTACTTATAACTAATAACCCTGAGGTTGGGTGTTCAAATACAGCTATCACCATGAGTTTTCTTTCAACAAATAAACATTTCTTTGAAAAACTAAAATAGCAAACATTATGGAAAAACTGTCCAATCCCTTGAGGATCCTTGTGATATTTCAGGTCTTGTTGAATGATAAGTGTCGCATAGCTTAAATAATTTTCATTCTTAGAAATTATTAAACGCTCTGTTAAAAGTAAGGGAGTTTTTATGTCTGTTATAGTAAAAGAAAATGCCTGACGAATTAGGAATTGGACTGTTTTTCAGTGCTTGTACAATCGATGGAAATGTTCAAATAAATGTGTTAAAGAAGTCATTTATTCCTTTATCATATTGGCTAGCTAATGTCCTCTCTTTGCTAGTTACCTGTGGCTGTGTTTCTGCGTTGCATAGCAACGAGGGACTATATTCTCAGGCGGAGGAACGTAAACAACTTAATTTTCGTGTTAAATTTTTAAAATTAAAATTCATTCTATACAGCAATCGCATATTTGGGGACTGTTTTATAAAACTTTGATGCTTAAAATGTTTAGGGAGAAATGGAATACTGGTGTGTATTTTTTCTTTAAAGTACCGAGACCAGCCATATACAGTTTACATAATACTGTATGTTTATGTTCCAAAATTAATATCGTTTTTGACCTTATGCTCCTATTCTTTTTATGCTACTAAAATTTCCCTTCAGTGGTAAAATTACAGTTTGCATACAGTAATACGTTTATGTTCCTAAATCAATATATTTTATGAGCATGTGAAAGGCATGGTGAATCGGAGATTCTCAAAAATTACTGTACTTTGCATGATTGGAAACAAATGCGTGATTGGATCAACAAAATGCTGTGGTGTTACTTTTACAAAGACGGTCAATGAAAAAATAAAATATTTTCATTTACAGCTTGTCCAAGATCATTCATTATTAATACTATTAGTAATATCTTCGATAAAGACTTTGATGGTGACAGCTCAAACATGAGAGGTTGAGCTTTGTTAGCTCCACCTTGCGGAAATTCTGGATACTATTATTTTACTTGTGTTTACCATGCGGTATTATGTGAGAATATACTGTATTAATACAGTATTATATGGTAACTTGAGTTATACCCCGACAAGCGCACTGGTATCGCCCGCTTGTTTTGAATGGCTGCATCTGTACTTTGTGTGATTGGAAACGAATGCGTGATTGGATCAATGAAATGCTGTGGTGTTACTTTTTGTGAATGAAAAAATTGTCTTTTCGTTTACAAAGACGGTTACAAAGAATGTGGACCAGGGTAATACTTTGACTTTACAGCTTGTCCAGGTCATTCATTACTAATACTGTTAGTAATATCTTCGGTAAAGGTGGTAGGTTGTGTACTTTTGTCCAACTGAGCAATCTTGCTTTCATAAAATATACCAACTTTTTAATGTATAATGATTAACATTCTGTAATACACAGTTTAAATTTAAAAGTCTAAAAAGTATACAACTTAAATTCTTAATTGAATAAAGATTGTCCTTCATGCAGTGATCGGGATTCTAAACCAGATGTTTTCTGGTGACAGCTCAAATGCTGTACAGGAGTGCTTAAGCTTTATTAGCTCCACCTGCCGGTTTTAGAAGGTGATTCCAGATACTATTAACATAATCTAATTTGCATACTGTATGATGTGGTACTGTGGCATGCTGTCACAAAATGGTCTGAGCAAGGCCAAAGTAGGTCAGTTTTTTCTCATACTGGCTCCGCCGCAAAAGCACCCAAGCCAACAAGTGCAGTCTATTTATAGTGCTCCCAGTTCCCCACACCAGAAAACAAAACTAATTATTCAAATAAAGGTAAGTCCTCTATCTCTCTATCCAACAACCAACAACCAACAACCAACAACAAACTCTTAGGCTGATGTGCCATCTTAAATAGCTTGTAAGCCCCTCCCCCTCTGGAACAAACCATTTCTCTACTTCAAAGTGTTTTTTCCCCCTTTCCATAAATAACCCTTGAGAACTTGGGTTAGGTTTGGCCTTTTGAGGCCACTATAGGCTGACTCACCCCAGAAGTACTGACACCAAACAAACTGAGTAACATCCATTTTGAGAGCGCTCTCCATTCACACCACAATGCTCACTCATACCTGTGTTTAAGTATTTGAATGTATTTGAAATTAGGTATGTTTATGTACGTGAACATATATGAAATTAAGTAATAGCATTTACTAGTCAAGCCCTGAGTGTGCACCCTCAGGAACTTATCTAGCAACTGCTCAATGGAAGGTGTATGAATGTTGTATTTTCTGTGCTATCTGTACACCATGACAGACTCCTCTGTCAACCATGCCCACCGTGTTATTCCGCAGCATACCCTGCTTGTTTTGAATGGCTGCATCTTATTTTTAATTTGACTCATTCAAGCATGATGAATTGTGAGAGAGTGATAGATGGAGACAAGATGGAGGTTTCTTATCAGTGGGAAATAATGTTCCACCCTCAGTCACCTGACCAGCAAGCCAGAATTACGTACTATCCCTATGTTTGTGAAACACCTGATCCTGTATTCTTCAATCCTGAAATTGAGTCACCTCTTGACTTAGAAAGCTTTAACAAACTTTGGATTTTTATTTTCAACAAATTGTAAATATTGTTTCATTTTGTCACAGCCTTCACTCCAATTTTCCAGACTGAAAGCACGGGAATAAACCTTTGTTTTATTTCTGAAACCTTTCTTTATGTCCTGTTTTAATTCAGGTAAGGGTCAACTAAATTCACAATACTGCTGACAGCAGGAAAATTCCTATTCCTTACTCAGCAGCTTTTTAAAAACAGAGCCCTTGATGTTCATACCGATTTTTTACA